TCCTGTGCCATCTACACCGTTTCCTCATACTATACAGTTTCTCTAAATTATGCTAACTTTAGTTGTAAAATAGCATTTTGTTTATTATATTTCACCCCGCTATATTGACAAAAATATAACAGTTATAGAGTTAGAATAACAGGTATAGACATAATTTTATTGTTCACGTCTATCTATTAGCATTCTAATATGTATACATTAACAGAGATAAGTCAATACAGTTTCATTTTCGACATGTTCAACCTCGTTCCCAAAAATCATAACACGCTTTTTATTGACTGATGTTTACATAAGTCTCCCGAGCTCTAATGCGTATCTCCCCTTCAAATCCACGTTTTTGTTTTTTTTTTTACTTTTCGTTTAATTTTTAATATTACTTAAGATGTTTATTTTTTGGTATGAGTTTGATATTATATTCATCTAGCCTTATCATTTACTATTAATAAAAATGTGTCCTATCAGCACCCTGCCTGTGATCAAAAGTTCTTAAAAATTTACCTGATTCACCGCAGACGCAGTGAATGACGCTACTAACACAATTCTGGTAACAAAATTCAGCTGCATGCCAGACATTATTGCACAGCAACGGCCATTAAACTACTTCTTTGCTTTGTAAATACCATATTTATAATTTCATTGCGCCACCCAGTTTTTGCCAAAAGCCACCATAGGTAACATATTTTTCCCTTGCAGAACGATCAGAAAATCCGACAGCTTTCCTGTCTCATATGACATGAAATCTGAATCGTTCATGAGTACGGGAAGACATAGCCGGCCAATGATCAATTGCCATTCACAAGGGACACCTTCTGATGGATATTTGCGTGTTCGAAGCATGTCCCTCCGTCGCCCGCACAGCATGTGGCAATGCGATATTTCTTCACTAATTGTCGATGTGCGTCTCCATTTACAAAAGTCATTTTTTGAATGGTAAATCTACAAATTTAAAAAGCAGTTAACTTAGAAAAAGTTATAGTTCTAAAAGATATTAAATGCATGTATTCTATAAAAGATTAATTCTATATTTTCGAAGAATGTTGCTTAGATCATTGACCTGGTATTGATCAGGAAAAAAACGAAAAACGACAAACCAGAACACCCAATTACTAGAACATTCTCCTCCATACATGGGCTGAATTTGACCACGCTCTGAAGCATTGAAAACCAATCAATCATCAGAAAACGAATCCTAGGAAGTTCCGCTCCATAATGCTGCAGACACTACAATGATGCCGTTCGGCTATGGCAGTAGACTATAACTATAACTATATAACTATATAGTTATATAACTATACAACTATACAACTATACAGCTATACAGCTATACAGCTATACAGCTATACGACTGTACGACTGTACGACTGTACGACTGTACGACTGTACGACTGTACGACTGTACGACTGTACGTTATATAACTATTATAGTTACATATATAGTTATATATGTAACTATATAACTATATAACTATATAACTATATAACTATATAACTATATAACTATTAACTATAATAACTGTACTAACTGGTATAACTCTAAACAACTACTACACTCTACACCTCTACACCTCTACACCTCTACTACCTCTACACCTCTACCCTCTACACCTAACCGTCTTACACCTCTCGCACCTCCGCACCTCCGCACCTCCGACTCCGCACCCCGCCCTCCGCACTCCGCAACTCCGCAAACTCCGCAACTCCGCAACTCCGCACTCCGCAACTCCGAAACTCCGCAACTCCGCAACTCCGCAACTCCGCAACTCCTGCAACCTCCGCAAACTCCGCAACTCCGCAAACTCCGCAACTCCGCAACTCCGCAATCTCCGCAACTCCGCAACTCCCGCAATCCGCCACTCCGCACTCCGCAACTCCGCAACTCCGCAACTCCGCAACTCCGCAACTCCGCAACTCCGCAACTCGCAACTCGCAACTCGCACGTCCGCAACTCCGCACTCCGCAACTCCGCAACTCGTCAACTCGCAACTCCGTCAACTCCGCAACTCCGCCAACTCCGGCAAACTCAGCAACTCGCAACTCCGCAACTCCGCAACTCCGGCACTCCGCAACCTCCGCCACTCCGCAACTCGGCAACTCCGTCAACTTCCGCAACTCCGCAACTCCGCCAACTCCGCAACTCCGCACTCCCGCAACTCCGCAACTCCGCAACTCCGCAACTCCGCAACCTCCGCAACTCCGCAACTCCGCAACTCCGCAACTCCGCAACTCCGCAACTCCGCAACTCGCAAACTCCGCAACTCCGCAACTCCGCAACCTCCGCAACTCGCAACTCCGCAACCCGCAACTCCGCAACTCCGCAACTCCGCAACTCCCGCAACTCGCAACTCCGCAACTCCGCACTCCGCCAACTCCGCAACTCCGCAACTCCCGTAACTCCGCAACTCCGCACTCCGCCAACTCCGCAACTCCGCACTCGCAACTCCGCAACTCCGAACTACGCACGTCCGCAATCCGCAACTCCGCAACTCCGCAACTCCGCAACTCCGCAACTCCGCAACTCCGCAACTCCGCAACTCCGCAACTCCGCAAACTCGCAACTCCGCACTCCGCAACTCCGCAACTCCGCAACTCCGCAACTCCGCAACTCCGCAAACTCCGCAACTCCGCAACTCAGCAACTCCGCAACTTCCGCAACTCCGCAACTCCGCAACTCCGCACTCCGCAACTCCGCAACTCCGCAACTCCGCAACTCCGCAACTCCGCAACTCCGCACTCCGCAACTGCCGCAACTCCGCAACTCCGCAACTCCTGCAACTCGCAACTCTCCGCAACTCCGCAACGTCACCGCAACTCCCGCACTCAGGCAACTCCGCAACTCCGCAACTCCGCAACTCGCCAACTCCGCAACTCCGCCAACCCGCAAGGCTCCGCAACTCGAACTCCGCAACTCCGCACCTCCGCAAACTCCGCAACTCCGCAACTCCGCAACTCCGCAACTCCGCAACTCCGCAACTCCGCACTCCGCACTCCGCAACCCGCAAACTTGCCGCAACTCCGCAACTTCCGCAACTCGCAACCTCCGCAACTCCGCAACTCCGCACTCCGCAACTCCGCACTCCGCAACTCCGCAACTCCGCAACTCCGCAACTCCGCAACTCCGCAACTCCGCAACTCCTGCAAACTCCGCAACTCCGCAACTCCGCAACTCCGCAACTCCGCAACTCCGCAACTCCGACTCCGCAACTCCGCACTCCGCACTCCGCAAACTCGCACTCCGCAACTCCGCAACTCCGCAACTCCGCTAACTCCGCAACTCCGAATCTCCGCAACCTCCGCAACTCCGCAACTTCCTGCAAACTCCGCAACCCGCAACGTCCGCAACTCGCCAACTCGCACTCCGCAACTCCGCACTCGCAACCCGCAACTCGCAACTCCGCAACTCACGCACTGCCGCAACTCCGCAACTCCGGGCAACTACCGCAACATCCGCAACTCGCAACCTCGGGGCACTCAGGCAACTCCGAACTCCGCACACTCCGCAATCCGCAACTCCGCAACTCCGCACTCGGACACTATATATAACTATATATAACAATATAACTATATATAACTATAATCCATAACTATATATAACTATATAATAACTACTATATAACTATATATAACTATATCATACTATATATATAACTATAATATAATAATATACTATATATAACTATATATACTATATATAATCTATATAATAACTATATATAACTATATATAACTATATATAACATATATAACTATATATAACTATATATAATAATAAAAATTGAAGCAAACCCAATGCATCAAAATTTAGTATACGTAATCTAATGATATTTCTTAAGTACAGGGGATGTTGGATAAATAAAACTTTCATAATTCGAAAATTTTGCCGGTCCATTGAACTTTTTATCTTATCCAAAAAATAATAGTGTATATTATGAGATTTACCTTTTATAATTCGTTAAATTTTTGTACAAACTGCTTTCAAAACAGAGGATTCCTCATGAAAGATGATCAAGTCGAGTTCACAGATGTCTCTTTGCCCACGCAAGGAATGGGGTATTTGTGTGTCATTTGAAGAATAACTTGAAAACGTAGAAGTGTGAGATGAGCTTTCAGATTGAATGATTTTAATTAAAATTCTGGACAAGAAAATTGAGGATTCGCTTAAAGTAGAAGAGGAAGAACAACGTGAAGTTGAAGAGTCTTTTATTCTTTCTGTCGTAAGAGGTTCTTCTCCATTGTGCGATATTTTTTGATTTATTGAAGAGGAAACCAATGTAAGAGAAGCCGTTTTCATTCACTTATCTTTCTTGAAGAATGTTATAATTTGAATAGACGAAACTCTACCAAGCATTCAGTCATTTCACAATTCTTTGTAAATTTTAATTTACATTCAAATAGAATGAACATTCTTCTACTGTGAACTCAAAAGAAATGAAAATGCATTCCGTTTTTGAAAAATGTAATTGCAGTGTTTTCAATAGTATTTATGTACATACTCATATAAAGTATAACAGCATAACCGTGCGAGAACTCTCGCAAGTCACTTCCCTAACGTCCCATTTTCATATTAAGAGGGAAAGTTGTTAACGAAACGTGTTTTTTTGATTAAAAATGTATAAAAATAACTTCCAATATACTCACATGTCAAATATTTTTTTAAAAATGCAATTGATATTTGAAACAAATTTTCAGTGCAAGTTGATTTAGTATTATAGATATATATTCTAGGAACAATTCCCTAACACTTCCCTAAACGCATTTACTACTCCGCAAAAGATTCAAGAAATTATTTTGCTGCATTAGAACACTACCATTTCTCCATGTATCCCATATTCATTGGACTCCGACTATGTAACAGAAGACCAAACACTGTTTTGTAACAAGAAATCTGCTCGAATGACCCCACGGAATTCTACACATTCAACAACCATATTCGCACAATGCGTTGCTGCTCAGTGGCGTGCCTAGGAACACAGTGGGAGGCCAGCCATAGATTACGCAAACGGGTCGCGGCGACTACATAAAGATGCGCTCCCGAGGGACCTCCGCAGACGTTGCCCCGCCGCTGGTGTCACCGCTGCTGCAGCCGCCCCACCCGCGCCGCTCCTGCGACCACCACAGCCACAAGAGAAAGGTTGGTGCTGGGACGCTGCGACCACTTATCTACCAACAGTTACCCCTAAAATGTGAAAAGAATGGAAATTCATGTTGTAAACAAGTTACCGTAGTGAAACGTACGCCTTGTTAAAGTTTAAAGGGCACTTATTCACTACTTTCTTTTAAAATATTCTCACCTAAGTAAAATAGTTTTATGAACAACCATGTAATTCCTTCCGAGACCTTTGAATTCATTTTCTCAACTTGAAAACGCCGCGCCGTCATATATGCGAAATGAATCAGTCGGGAAATTGTGTTCTACAATCTGATATTTTGATCTTGTTAGGTGGATAAATAGTGATGTTTTATTTTTTTTTTGTCCAGAAATTGGATGCAAAACTCTTGAATTTTTGAGATATTTCCAAAAAATATTTTGCATAGCGTTATCTCATTAATTTTCACAGACGTTTTACAGTGACAATACAAACTGGTCTACTGTTTTTTTCTCATAAAGGGACTTCCTCTTTAGTGATAGACCTACAGTTTTGTACTTATATTTACATTTTATTATTGTTCGTTTAACATTTGATATGAAGGCAGCAAATAAGAAAATAAAACAAAGGGAAATATATACTTTGCGGTAAGTTACTAAGAATCTCCGACCCGAGACTGGAAGAGTGTCATCCGGAGAAAATATAACAATCAATATATTTTTTGCCGTTTGTAAAACTAATTCCGTTATTTAAAATTGCATGTTAGTGTAAAATAGTTGTATTCTCAATACTTAATTTTTTAAAGACATTATTTATCTATCATTTTTTTATGTGTCATATTTTTAATTCGCGATAAAACAGGTAACGTATTAAAATATAATAATTTATATTTCTTATTTATTGGATTAGTATGTCGCATTGCTCCGACCTTGAATATATTGAAACTCATCCTCCATTTAATTATGTTGAAGTAGACGGTCCCAAATAGCTTATCTTATCTAGGATTATCCCGCATATAGTCAGAGATTTGTTCATTTTCTCTAGGACTGGCAGGAGATGATAAATCAAGATTATCCGCGACAACTTTTTATAGCGACATTTCACTGAAGAGAGGCGTGACTAGGTCGACTTTTGTAATATTGAGTGCACTATTTGATTTTTCTTGCGTTTTATTTCCCAGCTGAAGTGCCAGTGAAAAGAGGTTGGAGAAAAGTTAAGGCACCTCCACATTTGTTTTATTATTTATGTTTGTAATATTTTCTTTTAGGTATTCGGTCGGAGTTTTTTTCACTCAGTTTAATTATGTCAATTATCACAAGCACAGGCATCAATGGGAAAAGGCACGAAGATTTAGGGAACACGACTGCTCACAGATGTATTACGTAATCGAAGGAGCCTTAAAATACCTTTTTTGTAAGATGTGTATATTTTCTATTAAAACACATTTTAATTGTTTATACTGAAACGATTCCATCTCACTATATATTTTTAATCAATATATTAATTATTTCTTCAGGAGCTGAAAAATCATTGTATATCTTTAGAAAATATGTATACTTCCGTAGATTCTGATAAACGCGATACATCAAAAACTGTAATTGATATCTAAATTCACATTCATTTCAACTTAAGTTAATTCTCAAGACTGAAAATTATTTGATAAATATATTATTCCCTTTTCCCAAGAAAGTGAACGTGATTCTCAGATGGCAGTTTTGGTATATTAACAGTTGCCATTGAAACATTTTTAACGAGATAACTAAGGAAAACAAATTTTTGCAATAGAATATATAATTTTTGATCTATTTTGTGATTCATTCAAACATGTTTAAAATGTTGAAATCACTCACGAAATTGAAACATTCTTTCAGATTTTATTACCGTGAGATGTAGCACGTATGTTTACGGATTATTTTGCCGGGTGCATTCCTCTTCTCTTTCGAATTGAGAATCTCTACTACACTCACAACATACGATAACAGTAGAGAACGTGACATTTTGCATTCCTTAACCCACGTATGCCAAGGTCACGAGCGAGGAAACTAGCTTTCGAGAGTTTGTGGGTACTGCATCCACAGAACTGTCGGGAGGGTTACAAGTAAGGGTTGTCCAAATTTCTCCAGGGTACATCACTCGATTCCTGCCCACGGCAGACTTTTGGAGAAGTCATTTGTCAACAAATTTAGTGGTATTAAATTTCATTTATAATTTCATAAATGAAATAAAGCACTGAAATTTGAACTATAAGAAGAGTGAGACGAGGTTGAAGCTACATAGAGACTTGTTCATTTATTTTATATTATTGCTACGCACAAATAACAAACTCATTAAATAAAACAACACAAACCGAAAATAAGGAAAGAATATGGGATTCAAACATATTTTCCTTTTAGCAAATGATTATACAAGACCAAAATTTATCATTGATATCCAAACGCCTTCAGCGAATTGACTGAGCATCAACATTGAGTTATCAATAATTATTAATAGTAATCTCTTTGCATTTTATGACTTACTGAGTCCATTCCCACGAATTTTGCACAAACCCCTCAGTAGTATTGGAAGAGAATCTGCAATGATATCCTGTCAAATAAGACGTGTTAATGAATTTCTATTTTACATCAAACATTTTGGAAAAAACAATACATAAGAAAGAATATGTTTTGAATTTATTTAACTTTGATTTAAACTTCTCGACCTAAGTTTCATTTCCCGATATTTCCACATAGTTAATTAGTTATATTTAAAAAGAGGACTCACGAGAATACATTTTTTTCCATATTTCCTTTCTTTTACAAGACTACTGAGTTGAAGACTGCGTCTCACATTCAACGTTTAAGAAAAAGAGCACTGGCAAATAGTAAATGTCGTCAACAGAGGACAGGTGACGTGCATGTCGTGGTCCCAGCTGTTCTTAACCCACCTTGTCCGCAGGCAGATCACCAACTTCTATCATCGCTCTCTCCACTTATTTCTACATACATAGGACTCAAGTTTTTTATATAACTATCAAACTTAATTGCATACACTGAATATAAAAATTATTCCCGACGAGTAATGTGCGCTGGCATTATTTTTTCGGAGGACCATATTCAGTAATAATTTGACAACAAATATACAAATAGTATAAACGAAAACAAAATTTTCTTTTAACATAGATCCATTCAAGACCATTTTTGTTTTTACGTAATGATTTTCAATCAATTTCTTTTCAAAATCATTATTTTCTCGTAAAAAAATAAAATTTGACAAGTAAACGTTTAATTTTTAAACTAGGTCCATAAAATTTACAAAATGCGACTTTACCCATTTTCAGTTCTTTCCCTTCTTATTTCATTGCTTCTATGTGTCATCCGTTAATTTGTAACATCTCTCTCTCTCTCTCCCTCTCTCTCTCCCTCTCTCTCTCCCTCCCTCTCTCTTCCTCTCTCTCTTCCTCTCTCTCCCTCTCTCTCCCTCTCTCTCTCCACTCTCTCTCTCCATTGCTCCCCCTCTCTCTTCCTTACCCCCTCTCGCTCGCTTCGATGGCAACAACCCTTATCGTTCTAAGGTCTGGCGTCGCGCATTCGAAGTACTGAAGAATATTGGAAATCAGAGATGGTGAACCTTTTGGTGAAGAAGGATGGCTTGTTACCCGACCCTTAGCAGGAAAGAGTGAGATCAGAATAAGAAATAAGTATCTCGAATGGTTTATGACCCACCGTGTAAGATACCTCTCCAGAAAACATTTGGAATTGATCCGAGGAAACTCCATAACTGACCGATCAGAGCAACCGGTCTCTGAAATTCGCTCCCTTGAAGTGGTGTAGTGCAATTCACGTGCTTCCTTGGCAGCGAAAATTTCTCACTGAAGAAACTCCAACCTAAAAGCCCACTTTATATTTCCCCACAACATTGATTTTCCAAGCTTCATTTTCTAAAACATTATGCTTTAAGTGCGACATGGTTTCTGAAAAAGTAAATTAATATGCATGTTATAAAACAAGTTATTTTAATATAATTATTTTTAATAAAATGTTTTATCTTAACCGAAAGCTTTTTTAATATTTTAACACATTTTCTAACTGTTAATATAGGATTAGACCTTTATTACATTGGGTGATCTGGGCTGTCCCGGGTGACGCGCGTCGCAAGGCTGAGTTGCCGACGTTTCGACCATCCTGTCTGTCTTCCTGGCATCCAGCCTGAGAAAAGACCAGACAGGATGGTCGAAACGTCGCAACTCAGCCTTCGATGCGGCGTCACCCGGCAGCCCAGATCACCCACATGACTCTGGCCGCGGAAGCCTACGACTTCCTTTATTACATTGGATATAAAAACGAACCATTACATCTACTGATTATAATGTATATAATAATGATCCTATTTAAACACCAAACCCGTAATTAAATACCTATTAAAGGCGATCGAATAAGAGAAAAATTAATTATTTTCAATAACATTTTCAAAGAACGTTCATCACGTTTTCCCAGAAGATGCAATACAGGAGCTTGTAAATTTGAGCCCTTTAAACCTAAAGACGCAGGCTTCATGATTCGACAGTTGAGGCGCCGAGATGCTTCCGAACCACCATTAGAGCTCGGACGTCCCCACACGGTGTACCATCACGTGCGCGGGGTCTTGGAAGCAATTGAATAATGGCGGAGTCTCCGACCCAAGGCCTCAGGCGAGGAACGCCTCCCGCGCCGCCCTGTGATTTGCAGCTGCCTCACGTGACCGCGTCCTTCCCTGCGAACGAGCCATTAGCAGTCGGCCATTTGCAGCACATGTCATTTGGCAAATTCATAATATGAAAGAAGACACGGCTCCTAAGTTTTATGCAAGGACTTCCGTGTTTTGTATTATTAAAGACACGATGAGAAACTTCAAATTGGACAGTTCTTTGCAACCGGTGCTTTTCTACATGTGCTGTGTGACTAAATAGAAGCCTGCCCATTATATCTATAGTATTCTAGCATACAATGTGACATATTGTTGCATGTGTACATATTCCTAGAGGTCGTTCAGGTACACCGAAAGTGTCGAGACCTTCCCATATCATCAG